CATTGCTTTGCTAACCAAAACTCCGGCAACTCCCAAGTCTATTATTGAGCTGATTTAAAAATAACAAAAATTGAACTCTATGAGAAAATTAACTATAAATTGATTCCAGCATAAATAGCCCTACGCGCGGTCCTTTACCATTGAACAGAATTTCTCAACAGGACCGATCCGCTGTATAGAATTCTATTAGCTGTACAACTAATTCTTGAAGTTTTTGTTCAGGGGATACATCAAGTACAAGCAATTGTATTAGACTATGATTATGTCACTTAATACTTCCAATCTCTCTTGGAAGCTACTTCATATTTTGGAAGCAGAATTTTGAACCAGAGATAACTTGACCACCTTTTACAACTCTAATACAATCAACGCAGGTTTGAACGATAAACCGGAGTGACACGTGTATGATCTCCTCTTTCTGGGCCATCACATCTGCTGAATGGCATTGATGTTCAAGAAACACCAACTGCACTCATGCTAAACGAATTATTAGCTCTTTTTTATACAGCTGTTGGAAAAAGTTCACATTGAGTGTAATCGAGACAGAAACAGCGCATTCTATTATCGTGATAATTATTTTATACAAAAAGCCAAACGTTCAAGCGCTTTGCGCATATGCATGATTACAACATATATACTAAATATTCTACTCTAGACTGGAGCAAAATATTATCAAATTGTATGACACGCATAAAGTGGTATTCCAATATTAATATGATCCAAAGTGTTTTCGTAAACATAACAATGGCTTATTGTTTAAGGAAATTGATTGAATTAGTAGTAGTATGCTTGTAAGTGGATAGCTTCAAAAGCACGTAGATGAATCAGCATGTAATATAAAGAATTTGGCTTATAACAGTCCATCGTCTTCAATGCTTTCCATGCTCTCGTCATCATCTTCCAACTCCAAATCCTCATCCGATTCCTCCACCAATGTTGCTTTTCTTCTCGATGCTTTCTTAGTCATCTTTGCCACATAGTTGAGATCTTTGTCGAGGCTTCCAAAGTTCTGAGTCTGTAAGGGCAGGAAAAAGCAACCTAAACAGCTGGTTGCAAGAACCGAATCAATATACCTTGCTAGGATCCATTTCTGCTCTCGTAGTTTCAAAACGGGTAGAGTTACCCACTCGCGAAAAATTCATTTTCGATACATCTCGACAGCCTACCTTGCTGATAAGATGGTGGAAGTATCTATCTTGTCGTTCCCTTTAAAAATTCATTATTTTGGAGGAGCAGATTAAGTGTTTGAGCATACCGCTGCGCTGAATCCACAGGAGTTTTCATAAACACTGCACTGCTTCGTCTGCGAATGGGAGTATCGTCATCAATCGGTTCAGCAAAGAACTGACGGCGATTAGCTCCCTGGGAGCAATGACCACTTATGAATTTTCAAATTAAATTTTACAAACAGGTCATTACTTTTCTTTCAGGCACTACCGCGGGAGTATGCAATGCTTCTAGAAGGGAATCATCGGCACCGAAATCATTCAGGTCAGGCAGCACACCCATACTCTAAATCAATTGATGGAGGATCATGTCAGTAGTAAAAATGCAAAAAGAATTGAATCTTACAACATTAGCAGTCGCATCATTGTCTTTGAAAAAATCGTCGCACTGGGCACCTCCACCCATCATGTACTTTCTAAAATATCAGGACTGAGAACAACTTTGAAGTGGGGAGATGCCACAACCATACTCTTCC